GAGAGAGAGAGAGAGAGAGAGAGAGAGAGAGAGAGAGAGAGAGAACAATAAAGACGAGGTTGGAATTTTCTCTGGGTTAAGATTGGCAGAGTTCACATAGCAATCAGAACACAGATCTTCTGCCTTCAATCTGGGCCTTTTCTATGACACCGCTGGATTTCTGAGTACTCGGAACTTAGATAATCTGTGGGAAATTATAAGATAGGGTGTCACTTGGTGCTGTCACTGTTTGCCTTTTGACCTCCTAAGTGCCTTTCTGCTCTGTTGCCTGCGTTCTAGAGGCTGACAGCTACAGACTACAGCACCGTCTTTTTGCAGATTGGTTTCTGCATTGGTTCATTTGGTGGGAGACAGTAAAGAGAGACCAGAGCATGGAGAAAAGAAAGATTGGGGTGTGCCTTGCTGGTCCCTTCCCTGCTTTCTATGAGTCTCTGGCAGTAGCTAGAGCTCTCTGTGATGGAGACTGTGTTGTTTTCCTTTTTTCTGAAAGCTCACTTTACAGTTTTATGGGCTTCAGTAACTCTTATTTGCTGCTCATTTCCCTTCGATCTTAGGGGTGAAAGTGTTTTTTTTATAGCTGTTTCATTACTGTCTCTCCATGGGATCTATCTGTGAAGGCTGTTTGCCCGCTGTGACTCTCACTAAATGAGCTTTGAGGACAATGACGAGGAAGGGATTTCAGATTTATGGAAAATGGCTTAAGACCTACTTGATATTTGTGCCCAGCGTTGCCCATAAATAGATACTTTTACACCATAGATGGATGGAGGATATGGGGCAGAGAAACCAGGATGTCTGAGACATAACTCCCAGAAATGTTAAGATAATCCCATATTACTTCAGCATGTCTCTCTCTTCAGCTTCGCAGCCCACAAGTGACTGCCCCTGCTCCTTCCGGGGCTCGCCTAGCTCCTGTTCACAATCCACAGCACAGTTCTCTAACTCTCTTTCTCCCGAATCTTCCCTGAGCTGCCCTCCTTAAAGGCAGGAGGAGACAGCTCCATTTCCCTTTCGGTTCTGTGACCCTATCTAGTTCCCAACAGGCACTTAAATGCTTCCTGAAAGGCCTCATATTTCAAAGGAACATTCCTAAAGCACTGAAATCACCTGCCTGAGTTACAGTGAGCTTGGACAATGCTAATGAGTCCAATTTTAGAACTGGGGTCTACTGTAGCTGCAGAATTTATGTAAAAATGACTCTTTTGTGCTTTTCCAACTCTTCTTGCACTTCATTTCAGCTGGTGTGAAACTGAACTGATGATGTGTGTTGATGTAATCGAACTGGGGACATTGTGCGTGAGATTTCCATTGTATAGCCACATATAGTGTGTGTGTTTCATCTTGATATAATCACAGTTAGACTCTTGATGTTAATAATTTAATAGATGTGTTAGCCCACTGCATCAATCTGCTTTATAAATGATGCTTTCAGAGACAAGGACTGATCAGAGATAAGCCAGTGTACTAGTGTTAGAAGATAAACTTGTAGACCATTTGCTTAGAAATGATCTTGAGTTCGAAGAATTAACATGAGAAAATATGGTCATTTGCTAAAAACTTTATTAGACTTCAGTCTGTTTCCAGGGAGCTCTTGCCCAGGTCCATACAGAAGAAATCTCTCCGAGACCATATTTCACTTCCCCAAGGCCCTCTTCTTCAGAGGTGACATTGAATGTGTCTAAATCTTATAAATCCAGTTAATTTATAGATCTTTCTCTTAACTAGGAAGAACAGCTGTCTATTCTTGCTTGACCGCAAACCTCTTACCCCAGAGGCCCGCTGAAAATTGGAGGGAAGAGGTCTAGATTAAAGACCAAACACATAACTCTTTAAATGCTTTCATTTTATGAAGCCCAAATTGAGACAGATGGCAAAGGGCATTATTTCTGACATCTAAGTTTATATTAGAAACAATCTTTTAAGAGTGTATGTATCAAATCACATTTTATTACATCTTCAATGAATCATTTAAAGAATAAGATTCCCTGGGTGCATGCCTTTAATCCCAGCACTCAAGAGGCAGATCGCTGTGAGTTCGAGGCCAGCCTGGTCTCTAAAGCAAGGTCCAGGTCAGTCGGGGCTACACAGAGAAACCCTGTCTCAAAAGCCAATCATAAGCCAAGTGGCAGTACAGGGCTTTAATTCCAGCATTCCTGAGGCAGAGGCAGGCGAATCTCTGAGTTTGAGGCCAGCCTGGTTTACAGAGCAGGTTCCAGGACAGCCAAGGCTACACAGAGAAACCCTATCTTGAAAAACCAAATAAATAAATAAATAAATAAATAAATAAATAAATAAATAAATAACAAAAAAACCCAATAATAGTAAGATTCACAAAACTGAGATTCTTCTGGGAAGTCCAAGACATGTGGTCATTATAGTACCAGGGTGTATGGTCATTATTGTACCAGGGTGTATGGAAGGAAAAGAAAAAGCATCTCCGCTCACTCATTCACTCTGTGGAACATGACAGTGATCTCCTTGATGTTCCTCCAATATGCAAAGCATGCACTCTCAAGGATTTGGGCTTAGCTGTCTGGAAGGGGTCTTTGCCCATGGACTTCTTCTTCACTAAAGACATAACTCTGTGCTTACAAGTGTACATTGGATATGACCATGTTACCTGTTACCCCAGAGCTATGGGGAACAGAGATTACAAGATCACTAGGGCTTACTGGCTACCAGACTAGTTCCAGGTGCAGTGACAGACCCTGTCTCAAAGTAATAAGGTAGAGAATGACAGAGTCTACTCAGCAATTTCTGGCCTCTGCATATGTGCACATGCATTAGAACAATGATATGTCCATATATGCCCCCTCCCCCTAATAAATAAAACATTAAGAAACAAACAAAAAAAGACATAACTCTGCTCAATATTATCTGAGCATTGGAGCCTTTTCTGGTCCCTTTAACATGTTGGCTCTCTCTGTACCATCTCCTTTCTCTGCTTTAGTTTTCTTTCTATAATTTATTACCATTTGACCTTGTATTATATATTTGTTGATTGGCAATATCTCATAGGACTGGGGCTTTGATTTGTTCCTAATTGTACCTCTAGCATCTAGGATTGTGTTTACTGGAAATTCAGAAAAGAATAATACTTATATGAAATGAGATCTTGGTAACCCTTGAAAGGATAGTGTGCTGGCTGGTTTTGTGTGTCAACCTGACACAAGGTAGAGCCAACAGAGAGGAAGAAGGGGCCTCCAATAAGGAAATGCCTTGATGAGATCCAGCTGTAAGGCATCTTTGTTTGCATTTAGTGGTCATTGAGGGAGGGCCCAGTCCATGGTGGGTGGTGCCATCCCTGGGCTGGTGGTCCTGGGTTGTGTAAGAAGGCAGGCTGAGCAAGCCATGGGGAGCAAGCCAGTAAACAGCACCCCTCCAATGGCCTCTGCATCATCTCCTGCCTCTAAGATCCAACCCTGTATGAGTTCCTGTCCTGACTTCCTTCAGTGGTGAGCAGTAATGCTGAAGTGTAAGCCAAATAAACCCTTTCTCCCCAATTTGCTTTTTGGTCATGATGTTTCCTCACAGCAATAGAAACCCTGACTAAGACAGGTAGCCATGACAGAGGAGCTGTTACGGTTTCAATAGGTGTTCCTCACAGGCTTATGTGTTTGGATACTTGGTTTCTAGATAGTGGCGCTGTTGGGATATTGCAGAGCTTTTGGACTTGGGACTTAGCTTGCAGGCATAAGGCTGTAGGGACAAGAGTTGAGAGGTATAGGTTGACCCTGCTTCTATGCCAAGCCCAGTATTTCCTGATTGTGTAATGTGAGGATGGTGTTCTGCAAGGGCCCCCTCCCTAACCAAGTTAATCCCAGCTTCCATGTC